CCCTTCGGATTGACCTCCATTCCTGTTGTTTTCTCCTGTCTGTAGGAAGATAAAGCAGGGGCGAGGTTTTTAAAAGCAAATAGTGCTCGAACAAAATCCGATTGGAAAAGGATCGGCTTTGGCTCAGAGTCCGTGAGCTTCAGTGCTCTAATTAGCACAGGGCTGAGGCTGGCGAGCCAGGCAGGAGAGCACCCAGGCCCGGAGAAGGAGACCTCAGTTTCCTCTTCAGGTCTGTCGGCTGGTGACAGAGGGACTTGGACCCAGCTGTGTTGGTGCTCCTGGGGCTGCCTTGGCCCAGCTCTGTTTGCAGCCCTGGGACTTGCAGTGTGACACCTCCTTTTTTCACAAGCTTTGTCAAGGGCTGCGGGAGAGTTGCTGGGCTGCGTGGCCTGAGACAGCTCTGCTCGTGGCACCATCTGTGAGCCCCAAGCATGGGAAAGGGCCCCTGAACAAGGAGAGGGAGAGAGGAGGAATGCAAGTCTGGAGAGGAGAAGCGGAAAATGCTGCGAGCTAATCAGGGCAGGATTAGCATGTCTTGATAAGCCAAGATGGGCCTGCAAGGCTTTGAATCCAAAGAGAGCAATAGCATATGGTTCCTGTGCTGTAGGATTTACTTGTATCTGCTTCCAAGCAGGGCTGCTCACTCACAGTAGTCTTCGCTGTTTCCAGTGCTAGCTGCAGCTGGGACTCCTGCTGTCCTCTGGCCAGCAACACCTTGGCTCTCCACCACAATCCACACAGCTTCCCCGACACTGCCCAGGCTTTCTGGAGCAGCTCAGACTGGAGCTGACTCTGGAAGTATCTTTTGGGGTGACCATAGCATTTAGGGTGCGTGTGTGGGAGCAGGGGTCAGCAAGAAGCTCAAGGGAACGAGCCCACTGCTGTTGATCATTGCTCTCTGGAGGTCTCTGGCTCACACAATCTCTTGCTCTTCTTTGTCTCTCCCTCTCCCACTCTCCAGCTGCAGATGAGACATTCTCTTTTAAATACAGTCCTGGAAAGCTGAGGGGAAACCAGTACAAGTCAATGATGACCAAAGAAGAACTTGAGGAAGAACAAAGGTAAGTGGAGTTGCCTTTTTCTTCTTGCCCAAGGCCACGTGGTTGGCATCCTCTTGAAGCAAGCTGGGTGTGTTCAGACCTCTCTCTCCCCAGACTACCTGGGTAGCCTTGGGCTCAACATCTCATTGCACCATGGGCCAGACCTCTCCCACCCAGGAAGACATGAGAACAAATAAAGTCACACTGATTTAGGAGATGAAGACACTGTGGCCCTATATACCCTTGGAGCTGTTCAAGCGCCTTCTCTGGATGCTTAGATCAAATTTCCCAGCTGATGCAAGCTGGTGTAGTTCCCCTGATCCCATTAGTACCACGTTGATTTACATCCGTTGAGGACCTGATCTCCAGTTACTTCCCCTCCCTTTACCCTGTGGATGGCCCCCAAACTAAGGACATGGGCATAGCTCAGAAATACCAGAGCAAAGTGAGTGAGTGTGGAGTTTTAGAGTTTGCTGTGATGGGGCTGAGACTGAGAATGCCTGTACCTAGGGCTGGCTCCTCAGCTGTAAGTGATGGTGGGGATTTGCCAGGTAATGGCCCTGGTAGAGAAGGAGAATTGTCCATCTCGCACTTTTTGCTTAAGTTTCCTCCTAGGCTTGAGCCCTGCCTGAAGAAAAGAAGAGCCTGTCCCATTAGTGAAAACAAACTTTCTAGCTTAAGATTTCCCAGCCTATACAAGGGAAATCAAACCCAACCTTGCACCTCGAGCTGCAAAGCCCTATCCAAAGCCAGTCTGTGCTGTCAGTGTGAAGTCTCTGCCCATGTTGGAGGGAGTCCTTCAGCCCACGGGCACCCAGAGCCCATGCTAAACCAGAGCCACCAAACCCTGCAGCCAAGGGCTTTGCCCTACAAGCAGGCTCTGTGGCAGGCTGCTCCCTAGCAGACGTGTGCAGCTTGTACCCCTTCCCTCTTGGGTGAGGTGCAGGGAACCGATTTCCCCAGTGGTGGCTCAAGGCAAGCCTGGGAGATGTTTTTCTCTCTGCTGCTGTCCCAAGAGCTGTGGGACCCAATTCTCTACCCACTGGTGTTCACCTCCTGGGATGATTTGGGGGAATTTGTCACCCCTTGCCTGGGATGCTGTGGTTTGGGTACCACCACAACTGGCATGGTATAAAGGCTTGACATGGACTAAGTGGAAACTTAAGCGCAGCAGGGAAGGCAAGGATGGAGGGATCGCACATTGCCCCTGGGTCAGGCATAATCCTGCTGACAAGCCTGGCCTCGAGGCCTCTGGGCAACATCTCCACATTGTTCGTGGCTGGGCTGGCCAGGCTTTCTCTCCATGGCATGAGCAGGGCACTGTGGTATGCAGCATAAATCCAGAGACCTGCCCAAGGGCTGGCACGGACATGTCCTCACTCTGGTGCTGTGGGAGACTCAGGTGGTGCACAGGGCTCCGTGCAGGCTGCCTTCATGGGCTGAGCCTGCAGCCCATAGCCGTTCTCTCCATGTCAAACCCGATTTTCCCATCAAGAGATGCCTTCCCTTTTTCCCCTGGCTTCTGGGCTCCCAGTTGTCCTCAAATCTTGGGCTTCACCTGCCTTGTAGCACTGCCAGGAGCAAAGAACTGCAAGGACTCTGTGCTCTGGGGTCAGCAACAGAAATGAGCTCCAGTTTCCTCTGGCAATGGGTTGATTCGGCATTGGTGGCATCAGGAAAAATGTTGTTTGCTTTCTTCCATTTGTTATATCTTTATCATGCCTGGAGCCCCCAACCTGTAAAATCCTAAGCAGGTCTGTTAGCATCATTGTATTTTTCACTTGGGGAGGGTGATGGTGGAATGAACTGTGTGAATGTGAGTGAAACCCACGGGGCTCAATGGGAATTGCTTTTCAGGATCCTGCTAAGCACCGATTGGAGAGGAAAAAAAAAAATCTACCTGCAGCAGGCAAATTCAAACCCTTTGCACCAGCAGCTCCATCCAAACCAGCTGAGGAAACACTGCTGAGGTTTTCATGGCCACAAGTCCTGTAGGCCTTTGGCTGGTTCATCTGTGGCAACAAATGCTCCTGCTGTCACCTGGGGGTCTGGGGACACGGAGAGGACATTGCCTACGGACAGCAGTGGGACGGGGGTTTTGTACTCAGGGCTGTAGAACAGGCTCTGGGGGCTGGTGGACCTTTCCTGGGCACGTGGGACCTCCCAGGCATCGTTGATCATGTCTGTCTGGAGCAGTCCCAGGGCAGGACAGTGCACCTAGGACTGACAGACAGTGCCTGGACATCGGGGTCCCTTGGAGGCTCTCAGCAGCCTTCTACTCTGAGGGCCTTTGGCAGATGTGTTTTTCCTACTGCTCCTTTATTTTCTCTTCTTCTATATTTGTGTTGTTTGTTTCCTTAAGGCAGCTTTGTGAATTTTTTTTGTCTCGCTTTGTTGCTGGCTTACTTCCCCCCTTCCAACTCTTCACTGTGGCATCAGCAGCTTTTCATTTCAGGCCTTGCAGGTGGTGTAAGGGGGCAGGGCTGCTGCCAGGTAAGCTCCCGGACAAGCTGAGCGCAGCGGCTCAGCCCAGTCCTGCATCCTTCTCCCTCGGCAGTTCCATCCCTCTCCCCGGCTCCACGCACACCGACCGTGTTGCTGATCTGCTGTGACCCAGGTTTGCCACCTTTATGTTGCAGGATTGAGCTGACCTCTGATCTCACATCTCTGTAGCAAGTACCTTAGGTCCTCGGCCACAAACATTCTTGCAAATCTTTTTGGTAAGGACACGCTGTTTCTTAGAAGTAGTGGTACCACTGATAACATCTGCTAATGTGGTGTTTTTGGGGTTTTTTTGCTTTTGGGTCTCATTTTCTGGGGGAGGGCTTGTTTCTGAGCTGCAGTTGACTGCCTGTCCCACCTCCCTCCCCACCTCCCTCCCCCTTCCCTCCTCATAACAGATTAATGAGTCTGCTCCCCTCTGCCTCCATCTCGCTTTCCGTGAGTGCTCCGGGGGGAATGGGGGCTCTCACGTTTGGATGCTCACCTCCTCCATCTTGGATGCCTGAAGTTGGACATCCCACCACCACGTCTTTTTCCTGATTTGGAAAATTAGGGCTGCTGAGTGAGTGGGTAGTTAGTCCTAAGGTGTGTTGCCAAAGCTGAGACAGGCTTAGTCTTTGCTTTTAGCCTTGTCAGCCCTCCAGTTTTCCCGTGGACCAACAGGTTCCCATATGAAGCAGCCTGTAAGCAACATCCCCCAAAAATGTAAGTGGGTCCCCCAGACGCCCTTGAGGCTACGTGTTGTGGTGATCACTAGTCCACAAGTCTTAATTTGGGGACCCCTGATTTTGGAGGTGCCATTGAAAGAATTACTTGCCTTTTCCAGGGAGAGCTATAGGACTTCAGGCAGGAGAGGACAGGCGTGCAGTAGATTGGGTTATTTAACCAAAAACCCACTTCTGCTCTAACCTGCATCACTCCAGAAGCTGCGGTTGTCTTGCCTAGTATTCACTTGAGTCTTGTGGCTTCAAACTGGTGCTAAATCTGAACTAAAAGGGGAAGGAATGTGACCTTTACTGAGTGATGCAACTTCCTGCTTCTGGTTACTTCAGTCTTAAAAATTAGAGGGACTTCTCAGTGAGGGAGGAGGACAGTAAATCTAGTTGGGAAATACATCTGCTCTGGTGGTGGCTGTGCTTGATCACACCTGGTGGGTCACCAGTACTTCTAGAAAAGAAGCACGTAGTGTTTGCTCCCCTGGGGGAGAAAAATAGTCTGGGCAGGAAGGGGAAGAGTGCAGGGGAAGGATGCAGCCCTTAGTCAAACCAGCACAGCGTATTTCCCAACTCCTCCTCTTCTGCACCTGAGGCTTTTGGCCATCTATTGCCAACTGTAGCTGCCATGGTGCAAAGCAGTAGTTCAGGCTGAGAAATACGACTTGTAGCGGTGCAGCTTGCCCCCGTTCAGACAGGGCTGAGTTGTGCAGGCATGAGAGACAGCCCACAAGGGCTGACTGTTAGGCGTTGCTGTCCTGGCAGAGGAGGAAGGAAGAGCAAGGGCTCCCCAGTGTTGCCTTCGGGACCTAGGTTGCATGGATGGATTGAAGTGGTCTCTGCCAGCTCCTTTTCAAACCTCCCTTGAGGTTGAAAGAGGTTAGTGGGAGTTTTTTGCAGTTAGAAAGGAGTATGATCAGGACTGTATTGATCATTGACAGCTGCAACAAGGCTCCACTCAAGGTAAAAGAGAAAACAATCACGAGAAACAACTCCCTTGGGTCTCTGCTTTCAGTTCTCTCTTTCCACGAGGCAGAGCAGGTCCCAGCCAAGTCTTGGTTGACCTCAGTGATGCCAAGGGGTTGAGCTGTCTCCGCTCTGTCCTTGCCACTCTTTGCTAGGTGTGTTGGCTGGAGAAAGAAAAGCAGATCCCATGTGACGGTCTGTGGAAAGGTCTGTCTTCTCTCTCCTCTCTTGGTTTTGGGGTTTAGGAAGAGGTGGGGGTGGAGAGCCAGAAGCTGCCCCATGGGACCTCAGCTGGGGCACCCTTGCAGACCCCTTGAGCGGGGTCTGAGTGAATGCCACCAAACTGCTCAGACACGCTCTGCTGTTTGCTGGTGCACTCATGGATGGAGCAGGTGATTCCCCAGACCACAGTCCAGCCTCTGTAAGACTGAGAAGGTAGGGATGGCTTCCCAGTTTCCTTGGCTAATGGGCTCAGTTCCCACAGCCAGGTGACCCATTCCAGGAGCAAATTCTCCTCCTGCCTTCCAATCCTCTCATCTCCTGGCCAGCCATGGATGGGTTGAGGAGGCACTGCTTGAATCCAGGCTAGACTTAACCCTAGGGCTCAACTGCAAGCTGGAATTCATGCAAGGGGAATTGGACGGCTGTAAGTCTCACACTCAGTCCTTTTCTTGGTGGTAATTTAGCACTGGAAATCTGTCTCCTCCCCAGCTGAGTTCAGAGTACCTCTTGGTTATGAGGCACTGAATAAAACTGGGCTTGGACCCTGGAGTTTCAGCAAGGCAGGGTGCCCCAGAGAGACCCTGGCTCTAGGGAATGACAGAAAGGAGAGACGTTTCC